GAAAGAGTCTCCCCATGTAGTTCAGGCTGGCCTTGAACTCATGGCAGTCCTCCTGTCCCATAGTGCTGGGATTACAGTTGTGTGTCTCCAGGCCTGGCTTGGCTTTCTTTTCATGCTGGCTAATTTTTTTTTTTTTTTTTTTTCTGAAGTAACCATTCCTACCTTGTATTGTTTTTCTTACCTCAAATAGTTTATTGTTTGTTTCTTCTTTAAGTTTGTTTTAACATTTTATTGGTAAAAATCCTTCATCTGTTTAATTGAATCCTCTTTCAGCTTGTTAAATTTCGTACCCATTTGCTTGTATGTTTCTTGTATCTCCCCAAACATTTTGACCATTTGGTTTCTGAGTTCTTTGCCTATAGCTTCCTCTGCTTCGGTGTCTGTGAGATCAGCTTTTGGGGAGTTAAGGGTTACTGAGAGCATACCGCTGCCTTGGTCTCTCAGGTCTCTATGGTTTTTGTATTTGGGGTTGAAGATAAGGTAGAGAAACTGTCACAGCTGTGGAGATTGCTTTTGTTTGATTTTTGTCTTCCTGTGATATGTCCTTGGGTTTGGTTATATTTTGGTGTTTGTACTCCTCTTCAACTTATTCAGTGTAATATCTGAGGGTTTTCTTGGTGTCAAAGCTTATTCTGGCCGGGCATGGTGGCGCACACCTGTAATCCCAACACTTGGGAGGTTGAGGCAGAAGGATCGTTGCAAGTTTGAGATCAGAATGGGCTACAAAATGAGCTCAAGGCCAGCTTGAACTGCATAGTGGGACCCTGTCTCAAAAAGACACACACACACCAAAAAAAAAGCCTATTCTGAGGGCCTGATCCCTATACCACTTAGAGAGACAAAAACAAACTATAGTAATGTTGACAACAGAAAGACAAACCAGGTACTGTATTGACATACCAATCAAAAGCAACAGTTAAAAACCAATTAAGCAATTATGCCACCTCAGACAATAGAGATCAGTAATAATAGTCAGTGACAAACCAGTATTGACATTCCATAAGAACCAATAATAACTACAATTATACCATCCTTAACAATAGAAAAGAGATCTGTAATATTAATGTAGACACAAAAGCAAACCATATATTGACATACAGTGGATATCTAAAAGCAACACCTATACCACCGTTAACAATAGAAAACAAGCCAGATGTGGTGGCACACGTCTGTTATCCCAGCACTTGGGAAGCTGAGGCAGGAGGATCACCACAAGTTCTAGGCCAGCCTCAGCTACATAGTGAGTTCAAGGTCAGCCCAAACAGTGTAGCAGACCTGTCTCAAAAATCCAAACAGTATACAGTAATTCAGCAATAATAGCATAGAGTCAAATAATAGCTAAAAGTTAATGGAGTTTAGTAGTAATAATAGTAATAACAGGAGTAGTGAAAGAAAACTAAAAGAAGTAAAATTTGAAAAAGAGAAAAGGAAGATGAGAAAGGGGAGAGAAAAGTGAGGTAAAAGTCCTGGTAAAGAATAAAAAAGGTTAATAGAATTAAACAAAAGTAACACAAAGGGCCAAACAAGAAAAAGAAAAAAGAATTTTTTTAAAAAAGAGCAAAAGATAGGAAAAAAGAAACAAACACCAAAGAAAGAAAGAAAGTACAAAAATTTCTCCATGTGTGTAAGTGATTGTGGTACCGGAATCCACCAGATCTGGGAGGGTAGTGAGTGACAGCTAGGCCTGTGTTGTCTCCACACCTAAGGGCCTCAGAAGAACCCATCTGCTGAAGGGCTCGTTGCCTCCCAGCAGCACCACCCTGGTACACATGGACCTTTGGCAGACTCTTACCCAAACCGTGTCGTTCCCGCCCTGACCCTCAGAGGTGCTTGTGCACTGCACCATGCAAAAAGTACTCCCAAAGTCTTGACTGTTCCAGCATTGCTAAAAGTGCAAGTCTTTTCCAAGATTCAAGAAAATCAACTGTGAACTAGTATAAAAATCAAAATGAAAGTTACATCCTTCCAAAGGATAATGGTGGGTACTGGGTAAACACTTATTCCAAAAGGCAGGAATAAGAAAGATATTAAGGAGACCAAAATCCAGCAGGGCAAACATTGAATCCTAAAGTTCCGCATCTGGCATCCATTGCAGTGTGGCAGGATGTGGGCTATAAAGGGCTTCTGCAGTTCCACTCCTCCAGCCTCGCTAGCTGGTTGTAGCCCCCATGGCCACTCCGTTGGGTGGGCCTTGAATGCTGCTTGCAGCGTTCCCTATGAACACTGCACAGTGCTGACATCTTTCCCTTTCCTGTGTCTCCACTGTGACTTTATTCCCACATGACCATTACGGCCCTGCTGGGGACCCTGACCCTATAGCACGTTGCCCAGCTACTGAAGTTTCCCTTTAAAATATGGTGCAAGCACCGGGCGTGGTGGTGCATGCCTGTAATCCCAGCACTCGGCAGGCTGAGGCAGGAGGATCGTTGTGAGTTTGAGACCAGCC